CAAAAGTCTTACACAATAAGAAAAGAGAACCCTAAGAGGAACCATCACAGAAGTCCCCTGAGCCCTGTTTGCAATGCATTACCAGCTCAATGGCAGGACCCAAACTAAATGAGAACATGTTCCTTGCTGATGATGAGTCAGCCAATCTGTGCTCTGAAGGGAACCAGGTCTGTGTATCCTGAAGTAGAGAAAACTGAGCAGATGTTGAAGACCACACATAAAACAGACCCAGCAAATTGAGGAGTGTTTTACAAATTCAGGCTAAGACTAATGTGTGTATCCAAGACCCACAAGATCAACTCTGGCAAAAAAGGCATCAAAGGCTGGAAAGTTCAGAAATTCAAGGACTCTAGGCTATTCAGGCAATGTCACTACAGATCTCATTATTGTATAAATTTACTTAGATCCTGGTGCCACAATTAATCAGAAGATGGACTCAGTCTTATCTATTTCTAGCTCTGGGGGGGAAAAATGTTAACTTGGAGAACAAATTATTCAAGATGTCTATATGCAGAAAAAGAAAATTCATTTTGAAAAATTTAATGAAGTTCCCATGGCTTACATGGCTACTCATATATGCAGTGAGATCTACATGTCAAATTAAAAAAAAAATCCCATCATGCCAACTATCCAACTATTTCATTCAACTCCCAACAGACTATTTCCCCCCCCCCTGTTCTACTTTATTCAATTCATCCAGCTCATCAAGTACCTGTATATATGGTCAGCTTAGTAACTTAAGTGCCTTCTATAAGAATTTATTCTGGGTGGAAAGAAAAGGAAAGCTGCCTGGCCATAATTTAAGGTTATCTGCAGACATCTGTAACACAGTGTCTGCCATCAAACAAGTTTAACAATCAAGTTAAGTTCACCAGTACCAAAAGATTAGTGCTACATTAGTCATTGACGCTTGTTGAGCATTGGAATCCATGGAGTACTCTTTATAATACTTATGCCCAAGGACCACACTCACTTGGTCAAAATCTTGGCAAAAGGGTTCCAAGCACTTATACTATTTGAAATGCTATATGTAAAATTCAGAGCTGATACTCGGCCAAGGTTGACAGCCCTGCAGGTTACTGTTCAATTATCCATTCACCTGTGACATGTAATTTTGATGATAAATTTAACTAATTACTCAGTGAACCACACCTTGACTGCTTATGGAGACAATCGCCTTTACTAGCTACTTCACTAAATTGGATTTAGTGCCCAAGACACTGATATAGTACCAGGATCCAAAGATAAGAACCGCATAATTCTAGCCCCTCCATCAACCCACCTCTGAAGTTGAATTCATCCAATAGAAATGGGGAGTTCAAGAGTCTCAGAGTCCAGAGTGTAATTAAAGCCTTCCCCAATGTTCCTCCTATTTCTTCGGCAGCTCACCTATTCTGGGCCTTATCATGTGTTGACTCAGCTGGTTCCAACATACCACAAATTCCAGCTTTCTTTCCTTATTGTCAGCAGGCAGTGTCCCTTCTCTGATGCTGGGTACAAGATCTAGAAGGGCCTCCTTGGGATTCACTCACCCTCTAGCCCTTAGAAATAACAACTTCCATGCTCAGTCTGAAACTTTTCTCTAGATTATCCAGGCCTCTGGAAGAAAACAGATACCTTACATTCGCATTTCTAACAAGTTTGAGTTTCATTGCATTTCCCTCCATCTGAATGCCTGAAGTATGTTGCCCAGTTTTTGGTTTGTTTGTCATTAGGCTGAGGAACATCTTTCACAGATGCTCTGCAATGGCAGCAGAATTTGCTTCACAAATAGAGCTTCTCACTGTAATAAGTACAGTTGTCCAGGAAAAGATACAATGAAGAGGAATGTGACTACTATGTTGCAGCTTGGGGTGTAGCTCAATGCTAGAACACTCTGTTAATATGCTTGAAACCCTCTCCTGTGTAAGAAAACAAAAGGATGCTATCTTGATGTATGGCTATAGCAGACAACAAAGAAAGCCTTTGAAAACAAACTGAAAAAGATGGCCATATGGCAATATAGGAGGCTATATGGTTGATGGCTGAGAGTAAGAGGAAACACACACACACACACATACACACACACACACACATACACACACACACATACACACACACAGCCCCTGGGTTCAAGTACAATTCCACAATTTACTAGTAATCTCTATACCATGTGTATCAGTTGGTAAAATAGGGAACTCTAGTTCTTGATGTTGTGGGAGAAAGGCCATATAACACACGGGAAGCTCCTAGGATGGTGTCTGCATAGAGTAAGCATACTATATGTTAGCGGGCGTTATTATTTGTCACAGAGTTTAAGCTTTGCTATCCAGAAAAAATAAGACTTTTGAATCTCCCTGCCTGGCTTACAGAAAGTGAATTCATTACAAATTGTTGTACAAATTGAATTTTGACATTTCTGGGATTCCTCCATTATTTTATTTTTAAATTAAATGAATAAAAGCATGGGATTTTTTTAGAGTATTTCATGACATTTCAAGTTACATTAGAAACACTAATTATTAGTTAAGTCTTATGCTTATAATATGCCTTAAAATGAAAGTAGAGGAGAATAATATTTAGGGAAGGGGAAAACATAATTTTCCATATAAATTGAAATTTTAAAACTAAAAAAAGGAGAAAGATAGAGAGAGAGAGAGAAATTTCATAAGCTTTGGTTGACCTTTAAATGTCACATTCACTAATATATAAATGCAAACACAGAAAAAGGTAATGTCTGACAATAATAGTAACCTGATCAATGCAATTACATTGAGTTCTGTGATATAAAGTATGCTTTCAGTCCAGAGTAGCAATAGCTTTTTATACCTTTTAAAACCTAACTATAATCCATTAAAGATCAGTGGTTGTTTTTATGATTATTTACATGCTTGTAGCTTACCTCTGTACAATCTATGTCTAAATTTACAGTAAAATTCTAAATGTACAAGATCTGAGAACATACATTATTGCTAATGAGTTAAAAGGTTAATTTACCACCTCAGTAAGCAATTCTTCCATGAAATCAACTTTAATAATTTGTGTAGATTATATTGTGACTGTTAACCTTAGTCAATTTTCAAAAGCCAGCGAAATATGATTTCAAAGATAATCGTTTACTTGGTCAAATCTCAATTTTTAACTGAATTACATGATATAAACAGGTCACCAATGTAACAATAAAATAAAATGAAACCCTCAATGGGTTAGAGTCATACATTGCTTTAATACATATTACATTTTTCCATTGTTTCAATTCTATTATAAGGGAACAGTTTTAGTGACTATCCGTAATTATTTAAGGCTTTTCATTCTACTCTTCAATTCCTTTGTCCACATTGACAAACACACATGTGTGTGCAGATGCTTTTTTGGATTGGCTCCTTTTAGAGTTGGATTTACAGGTAGTCATGAATCATCAGATATGCATTCTGGGAATCGAACTCTGCTCCTCTGCATGGATAGTGCATACTCTCAACTGATGATGAGCCATCTTTCTAGCCTCTGATCTCCAATTTTTGATGGTTCAAAATAATATATCCATGTATCCATCAAAAGTCTGACTTCTGGACACTAACGAATTTTTAGGGGAAGTATAGAAATGTCAGGTATTCCTTCAATTCCTAAACTAAATTATTGGGGGAGGCAAGATGACTCAGAGGTAAAGGCTCTTGCCACCAAGCCTGAATGCCTTTGTTGATCCTCATCTACACAGTAGTAGGGAATCAAGCTGGGGCAGTCTGTTTCTGACCTTTACATATGCACAACAGTTTATGTGCACCCTCCAGAAACACATTAAATATAAATGTGTGTTTGAAAATTTTAAACTATGTACTGGAAAAGGCAAAGTGATTTCTATACCTTGGATGATGTAAAACATTAAAATGAATTAAAATGATAGTTTTTCATCTCAAGATTGGACCAACTTGTTGACTATAGCTTACAATATTATGTGAACAAATATTTAAAGAACTATTATGTCCTAAAACAAGAGTTCGTGGCTTATCTGTTTGAGATGTAGCTGAGACATACAAAACAGGCCATGTAAGAATTGAAAACAATTAAGCCTGGTGGTGGTGGCGAATGTCTTTAATCCCAATTTCAGCATGCAGGAGGCAGAGTCAGGTGGATCTCTGTGAGTTTGAGGCCAGTGTAGTCTGCAAAGCGAGTTCCAAGATAGCCAGGGCTGTTATGCAGAGAAACCTTGTCTCAGAAAACAAACAAAAAGAATTCAAAAACTTAAAAGTGCTTTTAGGAGCACTCATTCATTCATTTAGAGGTTTAAAGTTTCCATGGAAAAAAACAGAGATGTCCCATAAGCCATGCAGACACCTAACAAGAGTTCTAGAGTCCTGCCACGTCGTATATTAACGCTTGACTTTCACTTGTTCCTAACTTGAGTGACTGTGACTGTGGGTCACTCTTCTTCATAGAAAGTGTGGCTGGCGTTTAGCATATAACACCCCCAGTGGACAAGCTGGTATAAGCAAGCAGCATCCCCACCTGAGCTCCTGCCCAGGACACCTCCCACCAGCCTGAGAACTCCTAAAGTGCCAATAGCTCTAACTTTGGAGGTGTTTCTTGAGCCAATCAATGCTTCATTGGGGCGGGACTTGGGTCAGAAATCACACTTCAGGTGAGCAGCACACATTATATCACAGTATTCCTGCAGGTAGGTCCCGGCCCCCGATACTCAAACACCTAGGACAGTCTTAGAAGACAACCTGGGTGTGTGGCCTTGGAAGTAGGCCTCAGATAGCCAGGATTTATGGACCCTCTCAAGTGACCCGGCGAGCCTCCCTTCCTCCCAGGGTTCTGAGTGGCAAGGCAAGGCTGCCCAGGTCCCTTACATTAGTAGCCTGCAAAAGTTGTGGCTGCAGGCAGCGCTCACCCGCCGCTGGGGTGAATGCCATGAAAAGCACCACTTGGTCCAGGGAGTCAGGCAGGTGCGTGTGGCCTAGGGCACTTGCCAATCCCCTCTGCTGTGGCGCCGCTTCCCCGCCCACTGCGGCACCCCTCACCTGGTCCCGGGTCTTCAGGTACCGCTGCAGCGCCTGCTGGGTGAGCTCGCGGACGCGCAGCTGGCCGTCCTTGCAGGGCACCACGATGCCCGTCCTGCCGAAGCACACTGTCACTTTCATCCTGCCCCTGGGCTCCCGCGCGCGGCCGGGCCGAACAGGTGTCTGACCCCCGGGCGCAGCCACTCCGTCGGGGGACGTGATGCGGACACGCCGCTATCCCCGCGCGTGACTCCGGGGCCGGGAGCGGCGGCTGCACCCCTGAAGCCCCACGGGAGGCCGAGGGCGGGAAGCGGACGCGGGGACGCGGCGGGTCGGCCAGGCTCAGGCTCAGGCTCCACGCGCCGAAGTGAAACTGCGGGCGCGGCCCAGCCCGGCCCTGCCTGTGGCGGTGGCCCTGGCGACCGTGGCAGGGCCGGCCCCAGGCCCCGGGCTGGAGTGGGCGGTGGCGGCGGAGCGCGGGGCCGGAGTTGGGAGGAAACTTTTGCGCCGGCTCCCAACTCCTCCGACGCGCGGGGCGCTCTGGGCTCCCGCGGCCCGCGGGCCAGCCTGGGCCCGGCTCTTAAAGGGGCCGCGGCGCTCCCCGGCCACAGAGAGCTCTGCTGCGTTACACAGGGCTCGGGGACCCACCCGGGGTAACTAAACCTTGGGTAGCCTAGTGCCAGCACTTGGCTCTCTCTCTCCCCTCACACATAAGCGGAGCTCTGGGAATTGTAATGGGATCTGGGAGCTACCACAGGGGAATTGAAACCGGATCTCATAAAGCACACTTGGATTAGATAGGAAATGGCAGAGCAACTCCCTTCAAATGAGAGTTAGAGCAAGGTGCACGGGAAGCCACGGAGCAGGTGCTTCTTGCCACGCCTTCTAAAATACCCAGAGTGGAGTGGTAGCTTGCAGGTATTGAGAGGTGGGCACCACCTGAGGGCAGACTTTGAAGTTACCCAAAAGAGCTGAACTGAAAGGAACTTTTAAGACTACTGTGCAGAGGCCCAATGTTTCACGGAAGATCACACCCAAAGTCCAAATATGATAGCATGCAAAAGGGAACACTTTTCCTGTTGAAGGGTGATGACTCCCAGTGTGCATTTGACTAGGGAGAGAAGTACACCCTTGACTCGTGATATCTCTGGTGCTTATCCTTGAACACATGGCATGGGGGGAGCGGCCTGTTCAACAGGTAACATCTGTATCCTTCATTGTATATATAAACAGCTCCTTTGAGCAGGTCTGGGTTTGACACCCAGCACCGAAAGACTTGAAAACAAAAACAGATTGGCAATCGGAGACTGAACAGGCCATGGGTTGCTATGATGGAAAGAACACATGTCCTCCTCACTAAATTTCTAGTGTCTCTGGCAGTTTTCATGGTGAATAGGTGCACCCAATAAGATCCCCAGGGCACCCACCATTTTCTCCCAGAGTTGCTCAGATGTCAATTAAACTGAACTTGAATTGCTTGAATGACAGGAGTCTTACTTTAGTGGATTTAGTACATTTAATATACCTTTGGTTGTGTTCCATGTAAGGTCAATGGCCACAAAGACAGGCATGTAAACTAAGTCAACTTGAAAAAAGAATGCACAGTAGACAGTCTAGTTTGGTTGCAAAATCCAGCAGACTGATGTAAGTAAACCAAAGGCAGAATCATTGTTTTAGAACCAAAGGAGAGATCTACTGAACACTCCACTGAGGTTGGAGTCGGGATCACAAAGTGTCTTCAGGGATTAGCCCCAACTATTAACTGTATTGCTAACAATAGTTTCTGTTCAAAATGAAGTGGGCTCACAGACACTACTCTCTGTTTCTTCCACAGGAAGTAGAATCAAGCAAACGCAAATGCCAGTCCTCACGCTAGTACTGAGAATTCCACAGTGTGTAGGAGAGTAGGGAGCAAAGATTCTCAGCTGATGAAACAAGCACCCGCTGCATCATTGCATTTCCCTTTCTTTCCAGTGGCACCAAACTTGCCTTCCATAGAGAACAGCACCAGTGTTTGCTCCTTTTTCCAGCCTACTGTGAGTTCTCCTCTGGCACCCTCCAACTTCCTGGCTTTGAGAACCAGGTCAGTCATGTAGAACACATAGGTTCCCCACCCTCTTGCCCCACTCACAAGAAGATTAGAATCAGGTCTCATGAAATTCATGAAATGCAGCAAAGTTCATGCCTGCAATAGATAATAGAAGCCTGCAGCTAGGCTCTGATGTGAGCAATGCTCATACACCATCGAATGAACTTTCATGACCCCACATTAGTAACTGGGAATGGGGTTTAGTGTTTATATTTCATGTTTATTAAGTAACAATATTTAACTTGCTTTTCAGCCTCATCACAGCACACATAGAAAACAATTCATCATACATTAAGAAGAGTAACACAGTCATCCATGCCCTGCTAAGACCTAAATCAATATTTCATGCCCTGTGGGACTTCCTAGGCAGAAGACAATAAATAATTTGCCTTGATTGAGTAACGCTGGAGGAGTCTAGACCTGGGCTCCATTTTCTTGTTTTTGCCTGCTGGATGGATTAGCATTGCCTATGGTGTGATATTTACACATTTGTTCTGGAGGCACTCACACTGGCCATCATTATTAAACTGCTCAGCCTTGTGAAAGGTATGGTGAAAATGTCAGGTACCATGAAGTGTGCACTAAACAATAGTAATCCATCCCAATTTTTTATTCTATTGAGACAAAAGCTATTTTTTGGCTTTCAATGACTCAGTTATAACAGTCAGCATTCATTAGAGAAACCTTGTTGAATTGGGGATGATCTTTACTTTTGAGATCCTGGAAGAACTGTTGACAGTCAATTAAAATGGGTACCGAGTCAACATAGATCCTCTGTCTTGACTGTGATGAATAAATGCTGTGGGGTATAAAAGAGTACAGCTTTTCCATAAAGACGTTAAGTGTTTGTACATCATCTCTTGAGAGATGTCTAAACCCCCGTTTAACTGGGGTTTGTGGTTGTTTTGCCAATGATGACTTTTGTTTTTTCAGTACCTCATAAACGCTGTACATTACCTCGGAGAGAAAATGTGTGTAACACTTTCTACCCCTTTGTAAGTAGTTTCTTCACGCTGATGCCTGCTATGAGACGCTTTCTAATTATATGGAATCCCATGTGTGTAGTCCTGGTTGATACCTGTGCTTTTGAGGTCCTATTCAAGTAAATACTTCCCACTGCAATATTTTGAAGCATGGCCTCTCTTTTTTGTCTAATTGTTTTATAGTTCACTAACACAAAGTATTTAACCTTTTTAAACAGATTTTTAAATATGGGTAAAAATACAGGTCTAGTTTTGTCTTACTCCATGTGACCATCTAGTCTTCCCAGCACTGTTTATTGATAATGCTGTCCTTTTCCAATGTCTGGTCTTAGCACCTTTGCCAAAACTCAGTGAGCCCTGCATGGCTGGGTTCACTGCTATGATCTTCATTCTGTTCCTTTGGCCTTCACGACTGTTTTTATGGCAGTAGCCTGTGGTTTTGATTATTCTAGGTAGTATGGATATTTTCACAGGATTTGTTCTCCTAACACAAAAGCACAGGCTGCCATTCTGCTTGTGGGTGGTTGTGTCCTCTTCAATTTCTTTTTTTTTTTTTTTTTTCTTTTTTCCTCTTCAGTGTCTTTATTACAATAATCTTCTCATGAAGAACTTTTACCTTTCTAACTAAATGAATTCTTTTGCAGTTATTATATATGGAATTACCCTCTTGTCAGAGTATCTGCTGCTGGTTTATAAAAATGATGCTGATTTTTGCATGAAAGCTTTGTGTCCTGAGTCACTGCTAAATTCATTCAGTGTTTTTTAATCATTTTCTGGTTATGTCTTGGGTTTGCTACATTTAAGATAAGGTTGTCTATAAACAGTGACAATTTGACTTACTTCCCTAGTGATATACAACATGACCAAAAGCAACTTGGGGAGGAAAGGCTTTCTGTCATCTTCCAGCTCACAGCCCACACTGAGGGAAGACAAGACAGGAACTGGGAAGCAGGAACTGAAGCAGAAGGGGAATGCTGCTTACCACCTTACTCTCCATTGCTTATTCAGCTTTTTTATATACCCAGGACCACCTGTCCAAGGGTAGCACCTCCCACAGTGTCCCAAATCAATCATCAATCAAGAAAATGCTCCCACAAACTTGGCAACCGGCAATCTGATAAAGGCATTTCTTTTTTCATTTGAGGTTCCCTCTTTACATATGATGTTCACTTGGGTCAAGATGACAAAAACTAGCCAGCACATTTGCCCTTTCCAACCTGAATGACCTTGAATTCTCCTCTTGCCTGAGTGCTCTGAATAGGATTTCTAGAATTATGCTGAATGTAAATGGCTAAACTGAGCATCCTTATTGTCTTAGGGTTTCTACTGCTGCAGCAAAGCACCATGACCAAAACAGAAGTTGAGGAGGAAAAGGTTTATTAGGCTTACACTTCAGCATTGCTGTTCCTCACTGAAGGAAGTCAGGACAGGAACACAAACAGGGCAGGATCCTGGAGACAGGAACTGATACAGAGGCCATTGAGGGATACAGCTTACTGGCTTGCTTCCCAGGGATTGCTTAGCCCTTGTTACAGAACCAAGGGCTAGCAGCCCAGGAATGGTGCTACCTGCCCCCCCCCAGCATGGTCTGGGCCCTTCCCCAATGGTCACTTGATGGGAGATGTCATTCTGTAAGTTTCTCATACTGGTTAATAATAAAGCACTGTTGGCCAATAGGAAAGGAAGATAGGAGGGACTAGGAGACAAGGAGGAAATAGGAAGTAGTAAGGAGGAGTCAAGATGGAGAGACTGAAGAAAGCAGTATGCCGCTGGCTCCCCGGTAAGAGAAATACATAGATCAGCAGAAATGGGTTAATAATTAAGACAGAGCTAGCCGATAAGAAACAAGTAGCCGGGCCAACAGTGTTGTATCAAATACAGAGTCTCAGTGCGTTATTTGGGGCTGGCGTGGTGGCGGGACAAGACCGGGCGGCGGCAGGCAGAAAAACCGTACTCGTTACAGATGGCGCCCACGTGGCTACTAAGAACTTCCACTTAAAATTTAACAAAAGCTTAAAAAAGGGTTTTAGAAACAAAATAACAGAGACAAGCAAGGTTTCTTGGTAGCAACATTTTTCTCAGTTGAACTCTGCTTTGCTAGAGACAAGCAGATATTAGCGCGGCTCCTTTAAGGGAAGATTCCTGACTCACCATAAGCAGCAAAAAACCACACAGCT